ATCTAGGCACAGAAAATCCTGAGTAGTATTAGGTAGTGGAACATTGCAGGAAGATACCAAGGCGGCCATGCAGTTCCGGATCTGCTGGGTTTTCTTGATGACCCCTCCGGTCCAAGGGGGGAACAGGGCTGTTCAGGCTCTTTTGGTAGGCCCAGGCCCGACATCAGGAGATCGGCCGTCTCTCCAAGCAACCGGTCCGGTAGCCTCACTAGGCTGCAGGCTGGGGCTCGACATGTGTCCATCAGGGCACCCGGTTTAGGCTTGGTATCTTAAGGGTGGTCCCCAGTAGCTTGGGATCGAGGTCCGCTGGATTTGCTGAGGTTTTTCAACCGTTTTGGTATAGGTTTGCAGGAGCCAGCAAAACACACGTCTAGCCATGTTGGCGGTCAGGCCCCGCCCCCCTATTATTTTTATTTTATATATTTTTTCACTCTTTTTATTTATTTTTAATTAAAGCTAAATTCAAACTCAATCTCATTTTCACTTATATCTATTTATTTAATATTATTTTTATTATTTGTACTTTTATTTGTGATTCTTTTATGTATGGATTTATTTATTCCCTACCACTACATGTTGTCCGGTATTTTAATAGACAAATTATTTTTTCATCTCCCTATTTATATATATATATATATATATATATATATCACACCATCTCTTTCTTAGTTATTGATTATTTCCCATTTTAATGATATATTGTATGCCTGCATCTTTGTGTAGAATATATTGTATGCCTGCATCTTTGTGTTGGGGGTTGAGTCCGTGGGGTTGACGGTGGTGGGTGAGGGGGGGGATGGTACAGTGTATACTCTATGTTTACTCTTTGGTTGGTTGTGGTTGATTCTGTTCCTGTGCCCAGTACTGTATCCAGGGTTCCCATGTGCTCAGATATCTATTGTGGTTGCCCAGTGTGGACCAATGAAGATTCTCCATTTCTCTTGTTCGTTCTACTCTTCCCATTGGATCACTGTGGGGGTTGTAGTTTTTTTCCAATACCCCGGTATGAGGTTGTTCGCCTCTCCTAATAATAACCATAACAGGTGCTATTTTTTCTGATTCTGGAAGGTCCCGGGCCACCCCAAAAAAACCTGGGAGGGGGTTAGGGAATGTGGTAGTTCTAGTATGGCATTGATATTGGCAATCAACTCAGTCCAGTACTGTTTTATGTGCGGGCAGGACCACCATATGTGTTCTATATAACCCACTTATCCCTCGCATCTCCAACACCTATCGCTAATTGTTGGTCAGAACAGGTGAAATAAGTCTGGTGTCCTGTACCACTGTGTGATACGTTTATAAAAGGACTCACATGTGAATAGGCTGATGGAGGTTAGCATGGGTTTAGTGAAAATATATTCCCATTCTTGGGTTGACATGTGGATGCGTAACCCCTTCATCCATTTCCGCTGGTAGGTAAGGGTCTCGTGTCCATCGTGGGATGATTGGAGCAGTTTGTATACTTGAGAAAGTGTGCATTTGTGCGTACTTGTAGCAGTACATAGTCTTCCAAAGGGGGTCAGTTCCCTAGGGGTCCACTGTGGGAGTACAGTACAAGTCAGGGAGTGTCTCAGTTGTGAGTATCTCAGTGCCTCAGTGAGCGAGTGGTGTCCCCCAGGACCCTGTAGGCTTATGACTTTGGGGTGTGTGTCTGCCGTCAGTATGTCACTTAGTTGTGGATCTGGTGTCCCAGTAGTTTCGACAGGGTTGGTGCACCTCTGCCTCCCAGGATATCTGGGTTGTGTGCTAATGGGTATACAAAGGAAAGATCCCTGGGGACAAGTCTCATGTTGTTTTATGTATCCTCCATTTCTTCAGGATATGGTGAATGAAGGGGTGTGTGGTTTTCGATATCTTTTGTAAGTGGCACGTTTGCCAGGGGAGTGTGGTAAGTGGTCCGAGGAAAAGCTATGTTTTAGTACATACCATGCTTTTTTATGGCTGTCATCTGTCCACTTCATCACTCTGGTAAGTAGGAGAGGAAAGACTTTTTCAGTGTGTGGAAAAATGTGTGGTCTAGCTCGATAGGAAGGGGACGTGAAACACATAAAGAATTTTTGGCAGTATCATCATCTTAAGGATGTTGACTCTTCCAAAGAGTGAGAAGTGGGGTTTGTCCCATTGTTTTAGTTTGGAGGCAATGTTGTTTAATAGAGGGACGTAGTTCATTCTATAGATGCCTTTGATTGTGGGCGTTAGCTTGACACCAAGGTATGTGAGGCCTGAATCTGTCCATTTATAACTATAGATGTTGCGGAGCCCAGCAGTTCATCTCGTGCTCAATTCTAATCCCATTATTTCGCATTTGTCTGCATTAATTTTAAAATTCGAGAATGTGCAAAATTGGTCTATTTCTTTTTTGACATGTATGAGGGATTGCTCTGGGGGTGTGAGGGTGAGAAGTACATCATCCGCGAAGGCAGATACTTTGATCTGCCTCCCTCCTGTGCTGATGCCCTTTATGTTGTCATTTGTCCTGATAGCTCTTAAGAAGGGTTCCATGGCCATAACAAAAAAGAGGGGTGACAAGGGGCACCCCTGCCTTGTACCACTGCTGATGTTAAACGAGGGTGAGTTGTGTCCGTTAACACTAACTGTGGCTGATGGCCCCCTATATAGTGTTCGTACTCATTATATGTAATTGGGACCCATCCCTAGTGTTTCAAAAGTGGTGAAGAGGAAGTCCCTGTCCACTCGGTTGAACGCCTTTTCAGCGTTGACTGAGAGTAGTATTGTTGGGGTTTTAGATGTTGACGCGCCATGATATTGAAGATGCGGGTAGTGTTATCTCTGGCTTCTCGACCAGGTATGAACCCTGCCTGGTCTGTGTGTATCAGCTCAGGCAGGAGGGTCTTAATCCGGTTAGCCAGAAGTTTTGCAAATAGTTTAAGATCTAGGTTGATTAAGGATATGGGCCTGTAACTACTGCATATGCTCGGGTCTTTACAAGGTTTTGGCAGTACAGTGATTGACACTTTCAGCATCGGGGTGGTAGTTTGTGGTGAAGTAGTAAGCCATTGAGTACTCCTAAATATTGGGGGGCTAGAATGTGTTGAAAGGATTGGTAGTATCTGGCTGTTAAGCCATCTGGGCCTGGACTTTTGCCCTTGGGGAGGGTTGCTATTGCTTTTTTTAGTTCATCTGCCTGAATAGGGTCTAAGGTTTTCTGAAGGTGGGATGAAATATATGCTTTTATTTCATGTTGGTTTTTTGGGGGGGTGCTAGATTATATAGGTTACTGTAATAGTCTTAAAAAGTTTTGGCTATGTCCTCTGTTTTGTCGTGGCGCGTTCCATCTGCTGACTTAATGTGGGAAATGTATGTCTTTTGATGTTTGTCTTTTAGTGCCCTGGCCAGGTATTTCCCCCTCTTATTGCCATGTGCATAGAATATCCCTCTATTCAGGTGAACTGCCCTATGAGCCTTCACTATGAGAATGTTACGTAATTCCATTCGGAGTGCTGTTAAGGTGTTGTATGCTTCTGTTGAGGGGTTAGATTTATGTGTAGTTTCTGCCCTGGCTATAGCATCTGTAAGTGATTGGACCTTTGCTATTCGCTCTTTTTTAATGAGAGCTCCCCATTTAATCAGGATCCCACGAGTTATGCCTTTATGTATCAGTGGTACACTTTGTTTATATTTTCTAGGAAGTACCTGGGGAGAGAGTCGTTGAGATCGTCAGATACTCTGGAGTCATCTAGTAAGGATTCGTTGAGATGTCATGAATTGGTAGGTGCACCTATTCCTGCAAGGGATAATGTGAGGAATACTGGGGTGTGGTCAGATCATGTGATCTGTGCAATGGAAGCATCTCTTAGTAATTGTAGGTGTCTATGCCCCAGGAAAAACATATCCAACCTAGAATAACCTAGTAGTAGTAGGTAAAATCTCTTTCCTGTGGGTGCGAAATTCTCCAGCAGTCTACTAATTGGTTGGCGTGCAGCGTTCTCTGAAAGAATTTGCTAGTGTTGTTGTGTATCTTTAATAGTCGCTGAACTGTCTGTGGAGTGGTCTAGGACCATATTCCAGTCACCCTCCAGCACCACTATTCCTTCTGCGAATTTCTCTAGTTTTCTAAGGCATGAATTGATGAAAGATACCTGTCTGGTGTTGGGAGCATATACAGTCGCTAACGTGATCAGTGTGTTGTTTAGCCTACCCTGAAGGAATAAGTACCTCCCGAAGGGATCTGTTTTGGTTTCATTAAGCGTGAAGGCTCTACGGGATGATACTAGGATAGCTACTCCCCTACATTTGCCTCCATGGTAGTTACTGAAGTATGATTGTCCTATTGTTTTAGTTCTCAGTTTAGGGGTCTGGTCTCCCCTAAAATGGATTTCCTGTAAGAATACTATGTCGACCTGTTGTCTGTCGATTTCGTGTGCCAATACTGTGCGTTTTTCAGGTGTGTTAAGTCCCCTTACGTTTAGGGACATAAGATTGAGATTAGCCATGAAAGAATGGCCATATATGGTAACTTGTAGTATTTACTCGGTATCGTGAGTATCTGTACCTGAGGAAGGGGGGTGTTACGGGGGGTAATCTTAAACGTGGGGAACTATGTACATTAAGCATGTGGGGAACATGCGTTAAACAGATGGTGTCAAGCACGCAGTGGACCATTTGGATCCTGCGTGCTCCCTGTGACACCTCTCGGGGGGGGGGTGTGTGGTCTTGAACCATCAGGACTCCATGCCTATAGCATATGAAAGATACCGTATATATCTATATATATCATTTGTACAGTAGCCTATGTTATCGTGATTTTGGTTATCAATAAAATATAGTCATTAATTGGTTCCCGCATGACTGAAGCCCAGGGCCCTTGGGGAGGTGCGGATCCCGGCCATGCGGACTTTTGGCAGTACATATATGAATAAACATTAAACAAGTTGTGACATGAAGCATGGTTTCAGTTAGGTGGTTATATTATGCGCCTTGGTGCCTTAGTAGTAATTAGCAGAATGAAAGGATATAGTGAGTCCCTTATGGCGGTCTATTCATTGCGCCTTTAGGTGTCGTTGTGAGTTCATTGCCCGATGGGGTACGTCTTCTTTTTCTTGGGGTGCGTTGCCATTTAGCCCTTTGGGGTAGCCTGTCCAGTCTTCCACTGTATCCATTGGGAGGCCCAGGGCTTGTTGGAACGCCGAGACATCTGCAGGGGTAGAGATCGAGTGTGTTTTCCCTTGTTGGAACACCACAAGTGCAAAAGGAAATGACCACCGAAATCTTATGTTGGTTTCAGATAGGGCCGTCGTTATTGGATGCAGTGCTCTCCTTGCAATGAGTGTTGATTGCGCCAGGTCTTGAAAGATCACCTTGTCGTCTCCGTATGCAATGTCTCTGATTTTTCCTGGCCTTTTGCAGAACTGTTTCTTTAAGTGGGAAATGATGTAATCTGCATATAATGTGCCTTGGTTTTTCATGGGGTAGCGCTTTTGGCCTGACCCCTCTGTGTGCTCGGTCAAATTTAATTATTGTGTCCAGCGGTCTGTCCAGTAACTTGTTAAAAAGGCTTGTGAGTGTGTGTATTATGTTCTCACTTTCTCCGTCTGGAGCCTCAGGGAGGCCTCTTATTCTGAGGTTGTTACGCCTTCCCCTATTGTCTAGATCTTCCATTTTCCTTTGCAGGAATATTATGACCTCATTGTGGGCTTGTTGTAGGGATTGCACATTTGTTATTTGTGATTGTCATTTCCCCCTCTTCCTCTAATGTTTGTCCCCTGTTGCCTATGTGGCTTACCTCCTCATGGAGTGTTTGTAGTTTGGCGCCAAAGCTCTTCTCCATTTTGGAAAACATTGCTTTAAGATCTAGCTTGGAGGGTACTTGTGTGAGGAGCATTTTCAGATCGACTCCTTCCATGGAGCTGTCTGAGGGTGCAGGACTGGCTGGTGCGCTGCTCACAGAGGATTTTGGATTGCGGGTCCGTTTTCAATTTTATTTGCAAAATATTGCCTCCAGGAAGTTTTAGAGGAGGTAGGTGCTGCAGAGGGTGTGTTACCTGCTTGTGCCTTTGTTTTTTTTTCGAAGCCATTTCGTGGAAACTGCCGGGATTCCAATGGATTAGTCCAGTTCTGAGCTGAGCTCGGCTCTCGAGCGGTTATTCACTCCCATATCCAAGCCACGCCCCTGTGAGTGTATTTCTACAGAATACTACTTTATACTTCCTATACCTGCAATATTGCCCTATGTTTTTTTCTATTACACGTCTGCATTGTAGGTACCTGTTTTTTGGTGTGTGTATATTCTATATTTTTATATATAAGGCATTTGACAATGGAGGACTATAATTAAAAATGCAAGGAAATGGATAAGGAAAGGAAACCCGAAAGAGGCACTTTAAAGCTGAAAAGGTTTTACTTTTTGAAATTGTGAAATAATGTACATTTATTCCCTTGTTGCTTTTGGTTTATTTTTATTTAATTTATTTGCTCATAACCCTTTTAGCAACCAGTATAAACTTTACATATATCATGACTGATTAGGTATTTAAGTGAATGCTCACACATAACTTCTGAAAAGTAAATTTGATTTGTTCCCTTTATTCAAATAATACGAAGGATGTGTAATGTCTGCAACTCTTCACATCACCTGACCTCTTGAGGGAGTCTTAGAAATTCCATAATTCTCAAACATCTATGACATGTTGCAACACATTTTCTTTCTCTGCTATCAAGGCAAAGCATAGAAAATTAGAACATTGTACGGAACTGATCTTTTTCAGTTGAAGGTAAGTGATGATTTTTGTTCGAGCCATCTCAAAGGAATATAACTGTTGAAAATAACTGTAACTCAGAATGTTTCAGATTTTCTAGCCATAGTCATCATAAAAAAGTATATACCAACACTGAATCTCATTGGTAGTTTATGCTTTTGGTTCCTAATTATTTTTTCCCCGTAATATTGTAATTACAATGTAGTCAGAACTAGACTTGTGCACGAAATCCCGTTCTACTGTCCTGAACCAATCAAATGTCTGTCATTAGAACTTAAATTGTCTTTATTGTTTCATTGATAATGTGTTGTTCCTAAGTAAGAAAAATATATTATAAACCATATGCACATATACATGTGGCTGTAGGGGACATTTAAACTAAAAATGCAGACTGTCTTTTACATGTAAGGTGGACTGAAAATTGTCAAGGCTGAAAATGACCATAGGCTGCCCTGTACTTATGAATTTGGGCCCAAGGTGTTTTTCTTCTTTTTATTAAGATCTCAAAATGAAATAAACCATTATGTCTATTATTTCTTAAAGCGGCACTGTCATGCCAAACTTACCTTTCTTTATTCGATTCCTCTTCTATCCCTCTCCTATGATATGTCCTTCATTTCTTCCTGTCTGCTCTAGTTATCTTTAAAACATAAGACAGAGTAGAGACTACTTTGTCTTATGGAGGTTTCCTATGCTTGACCAGCTTTGACCAGCGGAGGAACAAAATGTGCTTCATTTCCGGTGGTCAAAGCAATTTTCCCACAATTCTCACCTTTCCCACGAAGCCTCCTTTCACCTTCCCTGAACGTCCTGTTATTTAGATAAAACGCCGGCGAAACTATCAAATTTCATCCTAACAGAATGAGAACGCTTTCTCCATTCGTGTTAGGACGCAATTCGGGAACTGCAATTGGGCTCAGAGCGCTCTGATTGGTTGGTTTAAGCCAATTAATCAGAGTGCTCTGACAGGTACATGAAAAGACTGACAGATAAGTCTCTACATTTACCTGCCACAGCACTCTGATTGGTTGGCTTGAAATCCCCAAAAAAAAAGCAGGAAAGTTCTTTGGAACACTGCAAACATTGTTCAGGAATGGTTTGAGGAACATGACAAAGAGTTTAAGGTGTTGCCTAGGCCTCCACATTCCCCAGATCTCAATCCGATTGACCGTTTGTGGGATATGCTGGGACAACAAATCCAATCCATGGAGGCTTTACACCGCAACTTGCAGGACTTAAAAGATTTGCTGCTAATGTCTTGGTGCCAGATACCACAGGACATGTTTAGATGTCTTGTGGAGTCCATGTCTCATCTGAGCTGTATTGACAACACGAGGGGGATCTACATGAAATTTGGCAGCTGGTTTTATTGTTGTGACTGATCAGTGTAAAATGGACAAACTAAAGTGACCAGAATCAAGATATATATATATATGTGGTGGGCCGCCGTCACTGAGTGCCATCCCACTGCTCAGTTGTGTGTTTTCCCCTGTGTATTGTACGTTTCCCCTTGTATTTCATGTATTTTGCCCTGTTGACCGTTAGGGAGCGCTCATGCGAATGGAACCCGTTCGTCTCCCAAACGCGGACCACCCCGGTACCCCATTAGAATGTTCACACCATTCCATCAGAATGTTTGCACCTGCAACATAAGTGTGACATCGCAAGGGAAGTAATTAATGAGTGCTCCCCTGGGTGGCTGCCATTTTGTATAGGCGAACGCCCCCCAGAGTGAGCATTCATACCCAAAAAGCATATGCTTCCCTTGCAGGCTCTTCACACAATGGGTCCCTGAGGTTGGTGGGGACACTGTTGGGGTACTGGTGGTTCGGATCACACTATCTGCTCCTACCCGGGAGTTGCGAGGCCAGGCTCGGAGCTGCCCAAGGAGCGCTCTCTCCGGTGCTCCCTAAGTGTAGGTAGCCATGGAGAGAGGCACAGGCAACCAATTGGTGAAGGAGCGCCCTTTCAAACAGGGTTTCGTACCCTTTCTCCTGATTGTGTGGCGAAACCCCTCTTCTCCCTGAGCACCGATTGGTGCAACCGAGCTTCACGTCCATTCTTCTGATTGGGCGGCAAAACCCCTTTTCCCAGGAAAGCATTTGTACCCCAAAAGCATACCCTTGCAGGGTCTTCACACAAGGACTCCACAAATGGGTCCCTGAGGTTGGTGGGGACACTGTTGGGGTACTGGCGGTTCGGATCACCCTATCTGCTTCTAATGGAGCTGTAATCACTACTCCCCTACCCAGGAGGTGTGAGGCCAGGCTCGGAGCTGCCCAAGGAGCGCTCTCTCAGGTGCTACCTAAGTGTAGGTAGCCGTGGAGAGAGGCGTGAGCCCCAGCGGAATCCCTGGACCTGTGAGTCAGCTACGCAGCCACAGAGGTCCCGCTGGCAACCTGTAAGTCCGTGACAGTCAATGGGAGAAGGAGTGCCCATTCAAACTGGGTTTGCGTCATTCTTCTGATTGGTTGGCATGAGTGAGCGCTGATTGGTCGCTGCGGGGCGCAGGCAACCAATTGGAGAAGGAGCGCCCTTTCTAACAGGGTGTTGCATCCTTTCTTCTGATTGTGTGGCGAAACCCCTCTCCTCCCTAAGCGCAGATTGGTGCAACTGAGTTTCATGCTGTTTCTTCTGATTGGGCGGTAAAACCACACTTCACCCTTGTGGCAGAACCAGCCTCGCCACTGGGCATTGGAGAAGACTGATTGCCGGCCTCCTACCCTGTGACTATGGCCCCATGTTGAAAGGATGGATTTTCCCCTGCAAAGACCCAAAAGCTGAGTCTTTCGGTACTTTCCCTACGTGAGCAGTGTTATCCAGATAGCTATGTCATGGAGCCCATTCGTATAATGAAAGACAATGGGAAAGACTTTGGCTCCATGGCAATTGAATTGTATATGTATGCTCTGAGCGCCATTCAGTAATAATGTGCGCTCAGATCTGAGCTATCTGGGGATATGTTGAATGTACCTGTTTTGTGCAATGGCTGCACAGTTATATGTTTTTATGTGTTTTATTGTCTTTTGCTGCCATGTGGCTAATGGAGTTTTGCCTCTGTCCTGGAGATAATTGGATTACTTCCCCAATTATCTCCAGGATAGACTCAGTGGAACTGGTTTTGGGCAGAAAAGCCATGCTGCATTTGGTCAAATAGGACTTTTCCTAACTTTTGAACCACTGGACCAATATGTATGATTTTGAAATATGTTTGTATTTGGAGTATGCTGATTCTGAAAATGTTTTTTTTGAATGTGATGCATACTTTTCAAGTTATGAATAATGTGGAAAAACTGTATTTCTCTGGCTGTGATAATTAGATTAACCATTGTGTTCAGTAATCATATCACAGCCAGAGGGGAGGATTTTGTGTGGGAGTGTCTTTCTGTAATGTATGTGTGTTATTGGTTGTTATGTAAAACCCTGTGGGCAGTACTAAGTTTGTGGATTGGGAATAAAAGAGGCTGTATGTGCCAGTCCAGTCAGTTCCTGCTTAACCCTCAAAGTGAAGTGTCGTCTCATTATTGGGGGAGGATTTATTGTATGCTGTTCCAGTTTGACTGCTAGGAGTCTAAACCCATCCGTATGGTTTTTGCCTATTCAGCTGTTTATAGCATTCATATGCTTGAGAGAAGGTATACTCTTCTTCGGTTCGGTGATTGTGGTGTCGGCCAGAGTGCTTGGAGTCCTCAGGAAATGCTAGGAGCATCCTTTAAAGGGAGGTACCCAGTCGGGGTGCCAGGTGATCCGTTACAACCCTGAGGGCTGATTGGCGCAAATTGGTTTTGCACCTTTCAGCTGATTGGTTGTTGCTTGGTTTAGGCGCAAAGTTGGAATTCACCGGACTAACCCAAGCAACTCTATGGAACTAATTTTGGGGATTTACAGAGCCTTGTGTCCCAGACCTTAGGCAATGATTTCCAGGCTCTGTACATCCGATAGTCCCGCTATTTGCAGGGATCCTAGATGGGACCCGGGGCTATCCAGTGATATGTTTTATGTGTGTGCCCCATTCCCTTGCCAGCACGCAGAGCCCCTAAATGTTCCCCCATATATGCAATGTGTTTTACTGTTTGTAATAGGTTTTAATGTATGCAACGGTGTGTTGTTGGTATCTCCCAGAGCGGGAGATGGTAATCTGTAACCC